GTTCCAGACAGACACTTGTTCATATTTTTAACGATTTTCTAAATAAATTGCGTTCCAGACAGATGATTTTCCATATTTTGACGGTTTTTCATATAAAATGCGTTCCAGACAGACGTTTTTTGATATTTTCAATAATTTTTTAAATAAATTCCTTTCCAGACGATTTTCCATATTTCGATGGTTTTTCACGTAAATTGTGTTCCAGAAAAACGATTTTCTATATTTTCACTTTTTGTTTTCAAATAAATTCCTGGCGGACATATTTTCCTATTTAGTGCAAGCTGGGAATGAAGAGAATGCCCACGTCCAATTATACAAAATAATATGCATATACATACATCGTATTCTCGTTATAAATCGTTATTTGATGACATTATATGATGCGCTTTGTTGTTCTCTATACAATTCACATACAAATCAAAGACGTTTAATTGAAAACGTTTTAAGAATTTTTAAATTATTTCAAATAGTATAAAATAGTAGATTTTCTGCGTATTTTAAGTATACGTCGTATAAAATTAACTAATTAACAGAAAAGAAGAACATATTAATTTATATACTTTAGGAGAATTTTAAATAAAATGAATTTTATTTTTGAAAATGCAATAATAATCGCCAAAACCCCTTCGTATGAAGCACACGCTCATTGACTCTTCTCAATGTTCCTATACACATTTGCGTGTTAAGATTTTTTTGATATTTTTAGATTTTTAAAAAAAATTTTTTTTAATATTCTATCAATGGTTTTTTAATTCACTGTTCGTATAGATAGTGACCAATAAATGAATACAATGTATGATTTGAATAAATAACCAGTTTAATTGATGATTACCACTTCTTACGTAACAGAAAAGAAAAAAAAAATAAGTTAAAAATTTTTTCAAATATTTTTTCTTAGTTTTTTTAAAAGAATATTATTTTCTACCCACCCATCTTCCAATATTATGAATTCCTATAGTAAAGTACTCGTACTAAGTAAAGAAGAAAAAGACGAAGAAAAATTAAAATTCATCCATCATTTTTTCGCTTTTCGCTTTTTGTTTTTGATTTGTTTCATTTGTTTTTCTTGTTCCGCAAATAAACCGTTCTCTTAACCGTTTGATTTACTGTACTTGTTTTTCATCATCATACAATTTAATTACCTATACGTGATTTATTATTGTTTGCATAATAACGATCGGAGCGTTATGTTTAACGTAATGTGCATGTGTGTATTCCAAAAAATCTATATACACAATAATCGAAAATTCTCGTTAAATAACAAACACTAAAAACCCATCTCTTCCTCACTCCTCCTGATCCATAACGCATTTAATTATTTTAATAGATTTTTCCAAAAAATACAAAATCTGTTTTTTCATTTTTTAAGTATTTTAAATATTTTTTTTTTTGTATTTTTTAAGAGTACTTATTAATCTACGAAAACAAACGTAAACGTTTTTAAAAAAAGAATAAAAAAATACAAAGTAATTTTAATTTTTAATTTGATTGTCAGGTTGTTGTTATTGTTTTTGTTGTTCTTATTTTATAAATTGCTTTTCTGTCTCTGTCTATCGCGAAATTCTATATTTGTTATTAAAATTAACTGTAGTACTTCCTAAAGATTTTTATATACCAAAAACAATTTTAATTAACTTTTCTGTTATATATTAATTATTATGTTCATATATGTATATTAATTTGTTATATATTGTTATATATTAATTATTATGTTCATATATGTACATACATACGTATGTATGTACGTACATATATGTTTACATTTTAAATATTTATAAGATTTTTTTTTTATTTTGTGTAAATTTTAAGAAACACGCGCTTAAGATTCAATATTTTCTTAAAAAATAATTTTCAATTTTAATCACCATAATAATATCGATACAGTTAAGCATATATGAATGAATGTACAGATACCTACATATAATATAGACATGTTAGATATAGCTTTATTTTTTACCATGGTTTTATTATACCATTCGTAAGGTTTGTGAGCTCTTCATTTTTAACATAAAATAATATTCAAACAAAAAAATTTTAACCCTTTATTAGGGGTAATCATGATGCTGGTCCTTTAACCAAAGAATCTGGGACTCAAACCCTGGAATACGTTTGTCGAATTGGCTGTATTATAAGCGTCTGTGAACAAGTTATAAGAAAAAACTTAAAAAGATGAAGATGTCCAGCAAGCTCATAACCAGCCTTTTTGTTCGTTTCAATTTAATTCCAATTTATCACCCTATATTTTGGAAGTGCTATGAAATTTCAGGCATCCAGTATTGAGTTAGCAAACTTCTTGATAAGACATTATCAATTGTTTGATCAAATTAAATTCTAAAATTTTTTAAAAATTTTTGTTACTTTTTGTGTGGATTATATCTACATGTATAGTAATGTAGAAAAAATAGAAACAATTTTATGAAATTGAATTAAGTTGTACAGATGAAGAGAATTTTCAGAATCCATAAATACACAAACTTATTAAATTCATTGATTCATTCCAAAACAACAAGAAGAATAACAAAAAACCAAGTAAATGTACATATGATGAGTACCTGCACATACCTGAAAAGTATTTAACTATGACGAGTAAACGACACATACTTACAATGACTACGATATTTGGAATTGGTTGTATATAATTACATTTTGCCATATATCTATGTAGTTAAGTATGTATGCAGGTACTCTGTGAATATAAGCATATTTGACCACCATATTTCGATATTTATTTGTAAAAGAAAAAAAAAACAAAAAAATAAAGAAAATAATAATTTTGTATAGAAGGTCATCAGCTTGCTGTTTTCATTTTCATTATTATCGTATTATGTACTTAGTATATAAACAACATTATATAAATATCAAATACAATCAGATGTAAAAAAAAAGATGATCTGCTTTGAAATTTCATACAATAAAAATAATTATGACAAAGATTGATTCATTAAAGATCTAGATAGTTTTGGTCTTTTTTTTCTTTGATTTGTTAGTCAATGGAATTGAATCGTTATTTTCTATTGTACATTGGATTAAATTGTCGAATTATGCATGTATACTGGTATAGATCCCGTTATTTGATATGTTATGGAATGAATTATTGACAAAAACAATATTCGTCCAATTTGGTAATTAGAAATTCCAAGCGAATCTCGTAAAAATTTTGGAGCCACATAAGTTTTAATGCCACGGGGTAGTCATACGAAGAATGGCGTGTCCGCGTATACCTATACATAGCTCTGCATGTTGCACTTTAAAGTTTTGATATAACACAAGATTTTTACGAGTAAAAGAATTTGCAAAGAAATGGGTCAAAGTTATGTTTTCGATTTCGGTATTGATGCCAGATGTAGTGTGGTGTAAAAAATTTGGAACATCTGTTCTAACTTCAACAAAAAAAAAATCGAGAATAAATGCATATAAATTGAGTTTTTGAAAATTTTTAAGAATTTTTCCTTATCTTACAGGGGAGTATACACAGAAGGTAGAAGAGTAAAACTATTGCTATATCTTGGAGTATATGTTGTCAGACAACGACTTAAAGCTCTTGACTTATTCTTAATTAATTCCAAACGGGTGTGGGAGTGTTTACATTTGTTTGTGGAATTGATTATGACGTTGCTCTACCATTTATACTAGCTTGAGCTGTTCTGTAATTCACGGTTCAGAGCAGGTGGATTTCTGCGACTTAACCCTGCGATTGTTATACCTTCGAGTATATGTTGCCAGACAACGACTTAAAGCTCTTGACTTATTCTTAATAAACTCCAAACGGGTGTGAGAATGTTTCCACTTGTCAGAATTGGTTAGGAAAAATAACGTCGCTCTACTTGGTCCCATCTCAAGTTGTTCCCCGATTTACGATATAGCGTGGATGGATTCCAGCAACTTAAACACAATAGTGTCCGTAATTGTATTTGATTTTGGTTTTGCAGGGGACTTATGGCTTTGTAGTCATGTTATAATTTTGGACGGCAGTAACCAATTATTCTCATAACTTTATGCCTTTTTCCAAATATGAAAATCCATAACATTTTATAATAAGAAAAAATTTTAATTTTATTTTGACTGGAAGTGCTAATTATTTAATGGCATTCAAAGCTTTTATACTTTATACTTACAATTTAATTTTTGTTTTTGTTTTTTTCTCTTTCTTTTCACTTACTTATATTATTAAAATTGTTGTGATATTGCTCTTAAACACATTTTTTCCTCATGAATTCTACTCACAATACATGATAGTATGTAGGTATTAAAAAATTTTTAAGATGATTAAGTTGATGATGATGATATTGATTATTGATTGATAATATCATATACCGTTCAAATTGATAATCATTGTTGAATTAAAAAAAAAATATAACGAAAGTTAAAAAATAAATTTTTTTTTTTTTGATCATATTGCGATGATGTGCAACCATCTTCAATTGATTTCAATAGGTTAATAATATTCATTGAATTCACCTTTACTTTATGGATGATATTTTAACAAAATTTATTGTATATAGAAGATATATATATGTATAGGCATGTACAATTGTACATATAATATCTGCACATCATATACGCAATTATTATACTTTGGAGATTTTAATATGAGTACATAAGAAATATAAATTTAAAATAGTTAATATTTACGGTATATATAAGGTGTATACGGTATGTTTGTATATAAGAATGTACTGTATAAAACTACTACATTTTCAAAAAAAAAAAAAAAAAATTTTAAATATTTTTTAATGTGCGAATGGTTAATTTTATGTACTCCTCTTCTTTTTCTTCTTCTTCTTCTTATTCCTTTTATAATTCAATGTACATGTACTCTTCATTTATTTATGTATACATTTCAATCGCATATAACACAAATATATAACGTATATAACAATATATAAAAATGTACCTACTGTCATAAATATATGCGCTTACGGGCAATTGTTATATTATTGTACATAATATTGGAACAATTACCAACCGGGAGTAAATTTGTATAAAAACTGTTGTTCAATTCAAAAAGATTAACATTAGAAGTTTATCTTTTCGACAATAAAAGTCCGAAACGGAATATATTTTTTTTTTATTTTAAAGAATTTATAAATTCATTTTTTTTTATTTAAAAATGAAATTCGTAATTGTATTCGCTGCTTTATTTGCTGTAGCTGTTGCTGTACCAATTGATGATTCAAGAAACGCACAAATTTTACGATATGATAATAATAATATTGGTGTAGATGGTTATAATTTTGCGTAAGTTTTTTTTGGTTTTTTTAAATAAATTTTTGTTTTACGTAATTATTTCTAATACAATATGGATAATTAAATGGAATATTTAAATTATTATTAAAATGAAAAGTGTATTTAAAAATTCTTAAAGTGAATCGAATTTTTAATAGAATAGTGTTGAATAATAAAGACAATATTAATTTAGAAAATAATTTAAAAAAGTTTTCAAAAAGAAATTTAAATAATGAGATCGTTTTCACTTCCAAAATTCGGAATAAAATCTTATCGAACAATTGATATTTTATTTAATTATCATTCAACATTTTTGGTGAAAATCATTAATAATATTTTGTAAAATTAACTGACAATATTCATTAATAAATTCAAGCATACTAACAATAGAAATTTAAAATATTTTAATTTTTTATTAATTTTCATTCTATACATGAATTTTTTGTCATCTTTATTAACAATTTAATTTAATAATCAATTAACATTAAAATTTAATTATTATATACTATACTATATTTTCTAATTATGTACATAAATAGTTTCGAAACAAGTGATGGTACATCACGTCAAGAACAAGCTGAATTAAGAAATATTGGTACTGAACAAGAAGCAATTGCTGTACGTGGTTCATATTCATGGGTTGCTGATGATGGACAAACATATACATTAAATTATATTGCTGATGAAAATGGTTTTCAACCAGAAGGTGCACATTTACCACGTGCAGCATAAGCATGTATATTAGAATAACATCTAGTCATGCCATATTATATTTTTTAAAAGAGAAAATAAAAATACTATTATTATAATTATTATATATATATATATATATATATAATAGACATCTTCAAGAATGCGCCTCTACGCAGTAATGAAAAAAACTCACTCACTCACTCACTCAACTCACTTAATTTTGTAATTTTAATTTCGCTTTCAAATTTTTTATTTAGAAAATTTGAAAAAAAAAAATACCACCTTTTTTTTTTGATTTAAGATTTTTTTTTTTCGATTTAAAAATTTTTGTTTTTGGTTTAAGAAATTTTTTTTTTGTTCAAAATTTTTTTTTTTTTTGGCTATAAAAAATTCTTTTTATATTTTTAATTTTATATAAGACAAAAAATTAAGTCATTTTTTTAAATTGTACTTAACGAATCATTTAGATTAAAAAAACAAAAAAAAAAAATGTAATGTGATTAAAACTGATAATAATTAAAATAAAAAAAAAAAATTATAAAATTGAATAAAAAATAAAGAACAAGATTTTGTTATATAAAAAAAAAATAATAATTGTTTTAATTAAATTCAATTTGCAGCATTAAAATTGCAAAATATTGCCAGATAGCCTTGAATTATATTTATTATAACAATCCGCACATTTACGCATTTTAAAAATTTTAAACTTGGGCAAATTAATGAACTCTTTAAGATTACACACAATATAGGTCTAGTAATTAAAAAATAGTATAAATACTTTTACTACAGGGGTGTTTCAAGTATAAATACTTCAAAAGTAAGTGAATGAGAAATAAATAAAGACTCAATATTTAATCATTAACTTTGTCGCCAATTGATAAAATTGATTTTCCGAACATTTACTTAAAATAATGGAAATAAAATTATTACTTTCCATTTACTTTGTAAATAATGATGATTAACATTAATTACTATTTTAAATGGTAATTACAATAAGATCACAAGATCATTGTAACAACATTTTATTCTGCTGTATACAAGGACTATTGAAAATATTTTTAAGATAATTTTCTGGTATAAAAGTTGAAAATAATTGAAATATAAGTTGATAAGTTAAAAAGGTCTTTAAGATTATAATTAAAAGATTATGAAAATAAATTTTTTCACTTAAATTTAATTTTCGAAAAACGAAGTGTATACACTTGCTATATACTATAAATTATGGAGTGTATAAGTGTTTATGAAATTAAAGTAGAACAATACTCGTATTTAAAATATGTCTACTTACTAAAAATTAAGTAGACTAGTTAATAATTAAACATTACATTATATATGTATGTATATGTATATACGGAAATTGACATTAAATATGCCTACTTATACTCAACATATACAATTTGTCATTTACAGCAGTTTTTATAAGAATTAATTATAATATATATATAACTGTATAAGATTATCATTATGATCTTTAAATTAAGAAATTCACTAATGATTTTGGGTAATTATTAACATTTATTATTCAACCATATATCTGCATCTAGATTAATATCGAGCTAGATTCGGATTTCAGTATATTTTCCATTATTTTAATTTCTTTTAATTATATGGAAAAACAAGTGCCCTAAAATTATTAACCTTGAAAAATTGTAATCGCAATTGCAATTTAAGATTATATACCTATAATCATTATCAAAATTAGTATGGTAATAATGACATTAAAATATTGAATTTTTTACGAAATTTTACAAATTAATTAAAATTTCAGATATCAGCATTTGCATATAATTAAAATTTATCTATAATTTAATTAATATTTGCATGTATGTATGTACATATTTACATATAATAGTGTGTATATAACGTAATGACCCAAATTCTTTGAAGTATGCTTTAAAATACATAATAATTGCATATCAACTTTCTAAAATCGAAGAAATCGAAGAAAAAACTTAATAGTAACCAACAAAGAGCTTAAAGCCAAAAAGAATCAAAAAATAAATATCACAATGATTAAGATTGTACATCCATCTTTATCTAGATTTAATCAATAAGTTTGTATGTACGTATACATTTATGTGTGTTCGAATATTGTATTGTAAATTAATAACGTTTATAACATTTTATTATTATTATAATTATTACATTAATTAAAAGCTTTATATAGAAAAACAAAATATCTAATAAACTGTCATAATTGTTATAGGATGAATGCATCATCTTTTTCACTAGCTGTTCATTTTACTAAACTTACATACATATATATATACACACATCGAATTTACTATTCTTTTATACACGTTCTATAGGAACAAAATTAATACCGTGTATTTTTTTTTTTGAATAATAAAATTTATGCAAAAAAAATGGAAATTAGTCAATTAATTTTTCACTTAGATTCGCTTAATTTTTTTTTTATGGCGCATGTGTGTATGTATAGGTATACAGTTATGCATAATAAAATTTTAAGTGTGGATCATTATAATTTTATAGTGATAAATATTTCACTGGGCGATAACAACGTTAAAGCGAAATATTAGCAAATTTAGCACAGATTTATTTTTCATATACTAGTATGTGATAGACTGCATAGCCTTTAGGTGTTGTATAATAAATTTTAAAAGGCTGGCTTAATGGTTTGGCAATAATAAACAGAAGATTTGATTAGCAGTCGGCCTTCTCACGGGTCACCATGTATGTATATAGATAAAACGCAGAGCATATTAAACGGAATACATTCTGTGCATTTGTGAAGCTTTCTGTTGCAGCAAACTCATGTAGCTATGCAGTAACATAATATGCAGGTTTCATTATTTCGAACATTTGAAGGTGATATGAGGGAATAGAGCTATGACTTTCAAAACAATATTCGCCTTTTGAAACCTTTAGTATAATTGAATTTTCATAACAAGTCATAGTCACAGTATTTCATTAGCCACAGGCCTACAATCAGGATCATCCTCATGTTATTTAATCTTTTAATCTGCCACAAAATTTCAACCCATTTCATTTTTGAAACTGATTTCAAATGTATTGTATACCTCATAAATGTATGTAGGTAAAATCTTATCTATTAATACATACATACAATCCAATTTTTTTTATGGGTATTTTATAAATTTTAAAATTCACCTCAGAATTAAATAAAATAAGTAAGCAAATAAAGAAATATTGTTAATCAGGACACGTCTACAGTTTTATTTTATGTGAGAAAAGATGTGACATTTAATTATTTTAAATCTAAAGTCAAATGCTTTATAAAGTAGCCAAATAACTGCTGTAAATAATTAGTTTATAGAAAAAAATTGAGTTTCCTGGCAACTCGTCTAATAACAGCCTGCCGGGTTTAATACTAAGTCTGAGACCAGTCCCCAATGATGTTCAGACCCACTCGCATTCAGTCAATTACAAGATCATCAACCTGGCCTCTCACAATAACAACCAGATCATCAACTGGCCTTGCTTCTTGTTTCATTCATCAGAGAGTCTGTAGATACAAAAGGCCATTCATCACCATACACCAAAGCAGAGGTGAAAAGTGACAGCCATACATACGATGCTCCTTGTGACACTAGCGCATCCCATATCAGCCGTGATGATTCGGGAGTCCAACATGGTTCTGATCTATTAAAAAATGAGCATCCTTAACTCATTTGTTAGCAGCATATTATATTGATTCAAAAGAAGTATTGTCAAAGACCCAAGGGCAATTTTTTTTTTTGGCGTAAAACGTGCTCTCTATCTCTTAAGTAAAGTTATGCGGCGCAACTTCAATAGACATGCCCTTCTGATAAGCAAGGTTAATATAAGCGAAGCTTTTATTACAATTTCAGTTTTGAGCAACAAAATTATCTGCACGTGACAATTTAAAGAAAACGTTGAAGATTCTCTGCTTACAAGCAATACCTTTAAAAAATTATAACTCATTTTAACTTTTGGACTAGATTAATTGATTTTCGTAATTAAATAATACAACATAATGTAAGTAAATTATGAAGTCCTTCGGAAGATGCAATTATCTTTCATTTAGTTCCAGTTTTTTCCATAATAATTTCACATACATACATATGTATGTTCATATGTACATTTACGAGTATTTTTTCTGAATTTATTTTTATATACATATGTATGTATGTACATATGTATTCTTTTTTTTAATTTCTGAAGCTCTTTTAAGTACTTGTGTATTTTATCACATAATAATATTTTGTTAATCACCTGCACTTCGTATTGTCACATTAAAAGTACCAACAAAAAATGTTTTTAACATTTCAAAAAAATTCCAAACTTTAAATTCTTTATTAAAAATTACAAGACTGTCAATTTAAGAAATCTTTGTTGTCATAAAATTTATTTTTAAATATTAAGACTGCACGTATTCTATATAAAACCGCAAATTAACTCAAATCACATACATACCATAAGTATGTGGCATTCTTAAAAAAAGAAGCATTTCCTGAATTATTTCTTCTGTTTCTCTTATAAAATAATAAAAAAAAACGCCATTAATTTACCGGTTACTTATAAAAACATTAAAAGTTACAAAGCTTTTTTATTTTCTTTGTTTTCTTTGCAACGGCATATTTTCTATGCCAAAAACGAAGATCCATGCAAAAAGCAAACAAAACTCTTCGAATAAAAAAAATAATTTCAATTTTTAATTCATCTTTAATATTATATGAAATGCCAGAAATAAAATGAAAACAAGAAAGGAAAAGTTAAAAAAAAACTCTCATTGAATTCAAAAAATTTTAATTCAACGGGATAAAAAACAAAATAACAAGAGAAAATGAAATAGAAAAGAGAAAAAAAAAAATTTATATTCAAGGTCACCTCATCAGTCTCTTCGTCGCATACCACCATTTTTTTTTTTTTTATAAAAATCAAAATGTTAAACAAGTTTCATTTCCATTATAAAAATGTTAAACAAGAAAATCCCGCAACTAAATTTAAAAAAGTTTAAAAGGTGATCATGTGAACGATTGACTCTACAGTCTTACACTCACTCACATTTCTTTTTCATTTTATTATTTCTCTTTTTTTTTCGTTGTGTCTTTTAGTCAGGTATTTTTTTTTTTTAAGCATTCATTATGACAAACATATTTCTGACGTATGTGATGATGATCAGCGCATTTCTTTTCACATCAATCTTTCATTTTTTCGTAATTATTGTAATGTTTTGTTTGTGTATTTGGTAATCAAAATTTTATTTTGTAAATGTTTAATTTTTGGGGCGCACTTTTGTACATAAACAGTGATTTATAAAATGATTATGAGTTGTGCTTCTAGGTCTTTTGTTGTAATTATCAAAATATAATAATAATTAAAGCGTATTATATTTTAGTTTCCATTTGAAATATTATTTTCAGTAAGATACTTGAAGAAATTATATATGTACATATGTGAGAATTTGCTTGTTACCATTGTTTTCCGAAACATTGGCTGATGCTCATAAGATAATAAATTTTCATATGGCTATAATTGCAAATAATATGTATGTAGTAGTAGAAACAAAACTCATTCTCCTTTG